CAGTTGTGGCGGGAATAGAAAAATATTTGTCAATCGAGTTAAGTGATTTGTATCATAAGGCTGTTAAGAGATTAGAAAAATCAGGACATACTATTGAAAAAATAATTATACCTAAAAAAATACGAGAACATCTCCAAATCACTTATCTTATCCTTTGTTCCAGTGAACTAGTTAGTCATCTTAATTCGCTCCAAGGAGTAACTTACGGAATTAAAGAGAATGTTAGCATTGACCACAAACGAAGCAAATACTTAGGAGAAATAGTAAAACAACGGCTATTAATCGGGGCTTTCTTTTTAGAAAAACAAGAATTATTTGTCAAAGCCCAAAAAATGCGTCATTTAGTAGATCAATGATTGAAAAAGGCTTTTCAAAATTATGATTTTTTAATTTTCCCGAGTGTTAACAATACGGCTCCACCAGCCACTAATTTTGACCATTCATTTTCAGGTTTAATATCTTCCCATTGAAGTGATAATTTATTGCTCTTGGCGAACTTTTCTGGCTTGCCTTCTTTAAGTTTACCAATCGGTTTTGTAAATGGCCTACCAGTAAGTATCAATATAAATAGTAATTATGGAAAGGATAAAGAAGTTTTAGAATTTGCTGAAAATCTGGAAAGGAATCAATTGTAAAATATTTGTTATATGAATTGAACTGTCGTTTTTATTGTTCTTATTATCGTTATAGTCTGTGTTGTTATTTCTTCTCTTATTTCTTATTATCTTTCGAAGTGATTGGCAAAACTAGTAAAAAGGGTCCAACGAATTGATAACAGGAGAGACTTAGGACCAAAAACCAAGGAAATAGTGCGAATTGTTCGCGAAGTTTCCCGCCTTTACAAAATGAAAATGCCCGAAGTTGGAATTTATCCTTCGCAGGAAGTTAACGCTTTTGCTACTGGCCCCGCCGGCAATACTTTAATTGCTTTTTCCAGTGGCTTAATTAATATTATGAGCCTCGAGGAAATTAGGGGAGTGGTCGGTCACGAATTGTCTCACCTCCTTCATTATGATATTGGACGGATTTTATTAGTTCAAGGGATATTTGATGTTTTTTATTGAATGTTTAGTTTTTTACTTTTTTTCTTTCTGTTTGCACCGAGAAAAAGAGATGACGAGAATGAGGGAGGAGCAGGAGAATTTTTGGGAGTTATTTTTCGAATGATATTCTTTTATATAATTACGGCCATTGTCCGCTTAATTGGAATCTTATTTATTTTTTGATATACTCGCAAGCGGGAATTAGCAGCCGATAAAAGAGGAGCAGAAATAGTAGGAATAGACAACATGCTAACGGCTTTACGAAAACTTTTAGAATTAGAAAATAAGGCTTGAGTAGTGGACGGAATAGATTTAACTGAAGACGAAAATGTTCAGCAAGGCGAACCTAATTCTATTTCCTTGTTAAAGTTCAATCCAGAAAAGAAAAAAAGAGGCTTATTAGATTTATTTCGCACTCATCCTACTTTGGAAGAGAGAATTGAAAGACTAGAAAAATTAAAAAAACAGAAAAGATTGCCTGGTATTGCTTAAACAATAATTATTAATCTCTTAATCTAGCAACAAACATTTTTTCTACCTTTTCCACAATATCCCTTAAAACTCTTTCTAATTCTTTACTTTCCAAAGTTTTAGAAGGACTTTGAAAAATTAGACGGAAACTAACTGACTTTTTTTTCTCCTTTTCTAACTCGGCACTTTGATAAACATCAAAAACATTTACTTCTTGTAAGTTTTTGCCCCCTACCTTCTTTATTTCCTTAATGACCCCACTATAATCAATACTTGTGGGAAAAATAAATGATAAATCTTTGGAGCTGGTTGGAAAGTTAGAAACTGGTTGATAAGATATTTGGGGAGGGGAATTATCAAGATAATTAAATATCCGACTCAACGAAATTTGAGCAATAAATATGGTCTCGCTAAGTTGATATTTTTGAGTAACCTGGGATTGAACACGACCTAAAAATCCTATTTTCTCCTTTCCAAGAAATATCTCCGCACTTTGCGGAGAAGACAAGTAATCAAGAGAAGTAGGAGTAAATGAAATTTCAGAATTAATTTGTCATAATTCAAAAATATTTTCTAGAACCCCTTTTAGTCAGTAAAAATCTACTTCCTTAGCTAATTTATGAAGTGGTTGGTTAAAAAATTTTCCCGTCCCGCTTAAAGTAAGCAATTCTTCTTCACATGAAACACCATAGACCGAACTAATCTCAAAAAAAAAAAGGTCCCTGTTTCCGTAAGTAAGATTATATTTTAATGTTTTTAAGTGGCTGGGAATAAGCGTTTGCCGATAGTATTCATGATACTCATTTTTTGGCATTAATAAGTGATAAAAATCATTCCCTTTTGGAAAAAGAAAGTCTTTTTTTATTTCTTCTGAAACAAGAGAATAAGTAATAATTTCTTGCCAACCCTGATTAGTCAAATAAGTTCGGAGAACTCTTTTTTTCTCAAACTTGCTATTATCCATTTTTATTAAATTATTTTAAGTTAAAATCAAGGATTTATATCCATTTCAATCGGCAAAATAATATTTACTATCAAAAAAAAATATAAAATTAATTAAATTAAATATGTTAATCTCGCAAAAAAAAAAAAAAAAACAATAATTTGAATAGTTAGTGGACTAATAGTAATATTAGGAATAGGAACTATTATTTATTTTACTTGACCGAAAAATAAACCAACCAAAACGGAAATTAAAAACCAAAGCAAAGAAAAAGTTCAGTCATTGCAGAGCCAGTTATCTCAGATAAAAAACGTTCTCAATAAGTCAGAAAACGCCAGCAAAAAAGTTAAATATTCGGCTCAATTAACTGACCTAGAAAATAAAATTAAAAATCTTTCTCAGTATAATAATCAAGAGCAAGAGAAAACTATTCGGGAATTAGAGAAGAGTATTAAAAACATTAATCAGGAGTTAAAAATACCTGAGAAAACCGATGACCCTAAACCAACTAAAAATCCTCCTCCTGAGAAAAAAGATAACCCTAAAGAGCCAAATGATAAGTCGCCAAGCGACACTCCTGACGATAAAAAGGTCCCTGAACCTGACCCACAACCAGATAATAATAAAGGATGAAATTATGTCGCAACCAAAATAAATGACAATACATTTAAATATCACATAACTTTGAGCGGCACTCAATTATCTTTCAGAGATTTTATTGCGTTCTCTAAAAATAAAAAGAATGCCTTTTTTAAAGCATTTCAAGGAGCCTTAAAAGATGCTAATTCTAAATTTCCTGCCTACTTTTGAAAATGTCCGCCAGTATCTAAAAACACCCTTGATAAACCTTTTGAATTTGTGGTAATAAAAAGTGATTACTTAAATAATATTAAACAGGATTGAACTTCTTTTGGAGAACATATTTCTCCTAATCACCAAAAATGGGCTTGTAGTTTTCCTAGTAAGAGTGGCAGCAGCACTTTAATTATTCCTATTCCTAAACCAGGACCAGAACTTGATTTTAAAAATATCAGCCAATTTACTAAAAATGCCCCTGATGAACAGCAACAAGCACTTTGGAAAGAAGTAGCCGATAAGTTAATGGAAGAATTAGAAAAAGACCAAGATGCTCCTCGTTGGTTAAATACAGAAGGAACAGGAGTTTATTATTTACATGTGCGAATTGATAAAAAAAACGGGTTTTATTCAAATTATCCGGAATATGCTAAGTGAGGATAAAATTGTTTCTCTGCCCTTTTTCTTTAACTTTCTTTGGTCTAGTGTTTAAATATAATACTACTGTTTTAATAATTAATTTCCGCTTTTTAACAATTTTTGATATAATTTTTTAAAACTTTCCTTTGCCAAA